AAATTCGAACATAAAATTCGAATATTGGTTCGATTATAGAACGATTGTAAACGTTCCAGAAACGTTGAAAATAGTTCATTTGACTTGACGTGAACAGGAGACGTTCAGAAATAGAATCGGGACCAGGTCTCTAATTAGTCTAGAAACGGGGGACCTAATTCTTGCATTCTGTGAAAACGAGTAAGATTGGCTATAATGTAATTATCTTAATCTTCACTATCGTTACTTTTTAAAAACCCGGTGAAGTGGGTCCTTGCAGCTAGATTCTAGATTACTTAGAAACAGTCTTTTATATATAAAAACAGCTATATTACATACAAATGTACGAACAAATAAAAACCCAGCGAAGCGGGTCCTTGCAGCTAGTTGTTAATAATTATAAAAATAGAAAGAATCAGTAGTTATAAAATATAGCAAATAAATATCAATAGTTATTCTTATATGTATTTTAAAAATTATTTTAAGTTAAATTATTTAAAAGATAAACAAAATAATAGGTTTTATTATCTGTTTTTTAGATTATTAGTTCCATTTGTGAATTTGTAGAAGGTTGCACAACTGAAATTCATTCTGGATGGAGACCTTTATTTGGTGCTTTGAGAGCTGTCCGTATACCGGGAGGAGTGAACTGTACACCAACAATAGAAGTAGAAAAAGAACAAGCAAGACATCTCAGAGTTGTACTTGATGTGTTTGAAGCTTTTCTAAGAACTAATAATGTTCTTGTGTTTGCATATGCTGCAGTAGATTGTTTATTATGTTTGTTAAAACATGTCAGAGGGCCAGGTATTTATGAGTTTATTATATTATGTAAAGTTATTATACTAGAAAATACTTATGGTCAGGAAAAATTCTATTTACCTGGTTTATATCAATTATATTTAAACACATATGATGGCTTATACTTAAGGAACTTAAATTTTGAGAATTTGGAGACTTAATAAGTGAACATATGAATTTTAAGATAAAGTAAAATGCAATATGAATAACTTCCAAGATTTTAAATTTATTTCTATACACACCAGTTTTAAAGTTGTAGTTTTGTCATCAGGACACTCCAAATTAAGGTTACACCATTTGAATTTTCTTACAAGGGAAGGTCATTACACATTTCAGTGATGTTTGTATGGATAGGCCTTTGTATGAATCTTTATTGAGCGAAGGGACAAAGTGTGCTTCTCGATGTTTTCAAGAAAATTGAAGTTAAAAAGTTTTTAGTGATTTACAAGTAAGCTTTGCAGAACCTATCATCAAAGACCGCTCGGTTTGATAGGAGCAGGCCTTAATCATATTTATAAGATCATTGGTTTGTGACATGATGAATGCATTTTTTTGAAATCAATGCAATTTTGCATAAAATAATTGTAAATTACACTATGAACATTTTAATAGCAAATAAATAGCTCAATAGCTATTACTATTAAAAATGTTCATTTTCTTTCTTTAAATATTCATTTTCAGAATTGACCATTAAAAAGAAATTTAAACTTTGTTTTTTAAAACTCAAATAATTAATTATTTTATAGCTTATGATTTTGTAACTTTAATTTATGTGTACTGTCTGCTTGTTTTATTAGCAATAAAAAGGGAATAAAAGTATGACATAAACAATAAGAAACCAAAGAAGTGACATTGAAAGATGATTGCTTACTGCTGTCACATGTAACGGTTCAGAGTGATATTGGAAGTTAGTTATAACTAATAATTTTTTCAATTTAAATAAGTTGCTTAAAATATGAAAATGTTCATGAAATTCTTACATTCCTAAGTGTAAAATACTTTAAATTTATTTTTAACAGACAGCAATTCCAAACACAAATTTTGAAAGAAAGAAAATGCTCATTTTTAATAGAAAATAAATAGCTACTGTATAAATCCATATAATTTACAATTATTTTATGTAAAACACATTGATTTGGGAAAAGCTCATTTATCGAGGTGTGATCAAGCAATCTCACAAATATGAGTAAGGCATTCTCTTGCCAAACTATATCTTCAATAATAGATTTTGAAAAACTTAGTCATAAGGCACTCAGAATTTTTAAATTCAATTTTCTTGAAAATGTTTGAGAAGCACACTTTGTCCCTTTGCTCAATGAAGGTTCATGCCAAATCTTATCCGCACAATCAATATTACTGAAATCTGTAATGACCACATCGTTACCTTCCATCTAAATTTGTTTCTAGATGTTTAACTTTCATGTTATCTCTCTGTTCATCATATTGTTATTAGGTCCTTATCTATAGCCATTATGTTGTTCTCAATCTATATTAGTAAAATATTTAATATGATCTTATTCATTCTATCTTTAGAAGAACTTCGTTGGAATTTTCAGATAATATAATTGAAAATATACTCATACTGCTTGAAGGGGTTATAATCTTGAAAGTTATATGTACTTACAAATAACATTCAATTCATTGGTTTGATATTATTTAAATAAAATTAAAATATCTCATTTATTTTTTGAAAAATTAAAGCAAGATTATCTTGTTTTATATTAGTTTGAGAAAAAGCTTACAAAGTGAAATGATGCTTCAAGGAATATAAAACTAGTAAAAAATCCAGGACAAGTACATAATTAAAAGTTCTGTATAATGGAAGAAACACTAAAAAAAAATAAAATAAAATAGAATCTTCATATCTTGTTCTTTTTCTTATACTTTCAGAACACAGCAGAGGTCAACTTCATTGTATTCTGAATATGTAAGAGAAATGACAAGATATGAAGATGCTATTTTATTTTTTTAGAGTATTTCTTCTATTATACAAAAAATTTTAGTTGAATGTAAAGTCGTTTTTATTGAAGTGACAAATTATAGTATTTAAAATAACTTTTAATTAATTAATTATTTATGATTAATGAAAATATACATTTTTTTCTTTTAGCCGAGTTAGAAGATAATAATAACGAGGAAATGACTATTGTTGAAAATGTCGATAACAGTGTTATTCCTCTCGATTTATGTCTTGCTGCATTAAAATACCTGGAACGTTGTTCTGCAATTCTTGCATCTACTTTCAAAATGCCTGCTTGCCCTGTATTTAATTCAGCAAATAGGTATTAATATTAAAAAAAAATTTTTATTTCAAATGTTTACATATATTATGAGCATATCTTAGAATATCTAATAAATATTAGTTACAATTAAGAACAAATAATTTATATTATTATTATTATTGTACTTTCTAGAATACAACTTAATAAAGAACCTCAGTGTGTTGATCCTGTTATACCTAATAAAGAAATAATATATTTTAAAGAAGAAGATAATAACAACACAGAATCAGATATTGATGATAACTGTAATAATGTAAGTAAAATAATATTTTTAATAAAAATTTTTGACATTTATTAGTGCAAATAAATAGTCAGTTTAAAATTATATTTAAAAACTGTAATAGTGGAAAACTTATTTCACACACTGTTTTTACTTTTTAAACAATATTTTATAATTTTATTTGAAATAAATATTTATTTTTAAAATAAATAATTTATTATTAAATATTAATTACTACTATTGTTATAAAATTTTAAATGCTTAATATCTTATATGTTTTAAGTTGTTAACATTAATATTTTCTATGAACAAGAGAATTTTTTTGAATAAAGTTGTGTTATATATGTTATTTATTTTTCATATAGTAACTAAATCTTATTTGTTTAATTTTAAAAATTAATAAATATCTATGAAACAAAACTCAGTTTTTATTAATAATTAATTGAAATTTTTCAAATTGTTATTCAGATTGGTCTTCCAGATATTTTGAATGAAGTGATGCCAAATGAACTGGATCATCCAACAGGCATATTAAGGGTTTGGTTTCTTCTTCTAGAAGGTTTGGCTGGTGCTGTGGCAACCTGTCCTAAAAAGTATCAACCACACACTATGGAAATGTTATTTTCTATGCTTCATAATTTAAAAGAAGTTCCAGGTTTCTATTAGTAAAAATTTTGTTTTAGATATATATCTAAATACATTTTAATCAAATTTTATAAATGTTAATTACATGAATAATCTAGCATCTGAAATCAATATTTTACAGACTAGATAATATATAAAGATTTTATCTTATATTTTAGATCAGTGTTTATGAAATTTAAAATTATGTATGTGTGAGTTTTAATTGAAATTTTAAAAAAATCTTTTAATTGAAAAACCAAATGAACTTATAATGATAAGGTTGAATTACTTGAATTTTCAAAAAAATTTATAATTATAGATTCTAGATTTTTAAAATACTGTATAGAATTATCAAGTAATATTTTTAAAACCTTTTTTATGTGTTTTTGATAAGCTTTAGTTTTATTATTTTATAATAATAAAACTAAAGCTTATAATAATAATAATAATAATTTTTCACACAGATTCAAAATGGTTATATTTAATAAAAAGATTTCAAATATTATTTTGTTCTTATGAATATAATTAGATATATTATAAATGTATTAAAATACAGTGTATGAAATAATAATATATGTATTTAAATATTGTCAGGTCCACAGTTTGGAATCTATTGTGTAAACCATCTTTTGTTGCCAATGATTCAAGGATGGTTGCGTCGAACTACTCGTATTTGCCAAGGATGGGATAATTTTGCTAATTTTAAACAATGCTGTGGATTGTCAACAGATCTAGTAGTTGATTATGTGACTTTATTGGCAGGTATTATAAAATTAATAAGTTATATGTAACAAATAACATTCAATTCATTGGTTTGATATTATTTAAATAAAATTAAAATATCTCATTTATTTTTTGAAAAATTAAAGCAAGATTATCTTGTTTTANTAATTTAACTAAAGCTTATAATAATAATAATAATAATTTTTCACACAGATTCAAAATGGTTATATTTAATAAAAAGATTTCAAATATTATTTTGTTCTTATGAATATAATTAGATATATTATAAATGTATTAAAATACAGTGTATGAAATAATAATATATGTATTTAAATATTGTCAGGTCCACAGTTTGGAATCTATTGTGTAAACCATCTTTTGTTGCCAATGATTCAAGGATGGTTGCGTCGAACTACTCGTATTTGCCAAGGATGGGATAATTTTGCTAATTTTAAACAATGCTGTGGATTGTCAACAGATCTAGTAGTTGATTATGTGACTTTATTGGCAGGTATTATAAAATTAATAAGTTATATGTAATGATTTAATAAATTACAGTATATAAAAAGAATTTTGAATCTATAATAATTCTAATTTCAGAAAATGAAGACATATCAAAAACAAAAGGAATAAATTTAATGCTGTATCAATTGTTGTTAGTTTTGACAGAATGCATTTCACAACCAATAGAAACAATTTCACGTTTAGGCTGTGCTTGTATTAGGTAAAATTTAGAAACTTCATAATTATTTTAAGTAAACAGTTATTTTACTATATTAATATTATTAATTTGTACACTAAGATAACTTTTATAAGATTATTATCATTAATTACTATAATTTTTAGGAAAAACATCTGAATACAAAATTGAAAACTATAAAATGCTTTTATGTAACAAAAATTTGCATATATAGTTTAAATAAGTTATATAAATATGAAAGTCATTCAGAAAGTAAAGAACACATTTTTACATACAACAATTGCATAGATGGCTTACCATCTTCATTTAATATCAAATTCTTTTGTGTTGACTCAATGCACACCAAGTTTTAAGTTATGTATGTTCATAGTTTTATTTTGTTGAAATGAATCAGAAAATCAAAAGTGCAAAGTTCAAAGTGTAATTCGGTTTTTAATGCAAAAAAGTTTGTCATATAGAAATTCATAGAAGAGTGTATGATAATGTCATAAATGAAGCAATTGTTAGAAAATAGTGCTTAATGTTTAACAGCGGATGTTTGTGACAAAGAGTGTTCTAGACATTCCTCTCTTGTGACTCATTAACTGAAGCAAAAAATTTGGCTAGGAAGTTTTTAAGCACTCCAACATACAATTTTGACCCAACCCCCGTGATTTTTCACTTGTTTTCTAAAATGAGAGATTTCTGGATTGCAGTCATTTTGAAAGCAATGAGGAGGTGAGAGTAGTTGTCACTAACTGGCTAAAACTGGTGGCTAATGTCTGTGACAAATAAATCCGAAAATTACTGGCATGCTATGATAAATGCTGCTTGATGGTAACAATATGGAAGAATAAGTACAAATCTTCTATTGAATAAATTTTTTTATCATAATCAAGTGTTTTCTTTTTTAATTTCTGAATGACACTTCTATTTAATTATTTGAAAATGTTGAAAAGTTTTTATATTTTTAGTCTTTCAACATTATTCTCATTCAAAATACAATAAACTAACATTGAAAATTCAATAAATACAATTTCTGAAATACACAAATCACATGTTCACTTACAATATTTTTAAGAAAGATGTAACTAAAAAAAACTAGATTTGAATCAAAATTTTATAATATAAAATTAGTTTACACATTCTAAGTATACATTAATTACAATTTTAAGTTTACACATTAAAAGTAATTACACATTCTTTTTGTATTATTAAAGTAATATTTAAGTTCAGAGTAATTTTAAACACAAGTTTAAATAATATCTAGATTGTGAAGAGAAGTAAAGTTGTCATTGAAATAACATTGAACACTGACTTTTCATTTATTAAGTTTTGTTAATGATGATGATTTTACTTTTCTTCTTATGAATCAATTTTAATGTTGACAATTATATAAGTTTATAAAAATAGGAACACTGAAAAACACTGAAACTAAATAAAAAGAAAATCTGATAATCCAAATCATTTACTCAATGAGAAAACTAAAAAAATTTTTTTTACAAAATTAAGTGAACTATTCAAATTTAATAAAGCAGCTTATATACTTCACATATCATTCACTCAAATATTTAATGTGCTTATACACCTATCATAGCTGATATCCTAAGCAAGATAACATAAATCAGTTAAGTCTAAGAGTTTTAATATATTTGTAAAAAAATAAATTGTCAATATTTTAAAACAAATTTTTTCTAAGTAATTTTAAAATATTTTTTGAACTAAATTTATTATTTTAATAGATTATTTAGATAATGATGCTACTTTAGTTAATAACCTTATAATATAATATATACACATTAAATCATGTTAATCAGTTAATTAAAATTAACTTAACTTCAGTTTTACTTTGTGCATTGATGTGATTGGCAGTTTTCTTTTCTGTAATTGGTTTGTATTATCATGATGATATTTTTAATTTTCTATCAGACAAAATTTAAAAAAAAATGTGAATTAATTAGAATAGAATTATTTAATGCACTCTATCAGTATAATGTTTTATTTATGTGGACTACTGAGTTACTCTTATATAATTCAGTAATTCAGTAGTCCTCATAAATAAAATGACAACTTAAGAATCCCAGAAATTAACTTTTGTAAATAGTTTTATCTACTTTTATGATTTTCTCAATCAATATTATTTTTAATATTTATGATTATTTATTAAATTAAATATTTGCAATATATAAAGCAATTTATAAAATAATAAAAAAAAACCAGGTTAAAATTCCTCCTCAATACTGTTACAGAATGAAAAAAATCTAGCAACAAGTTGCTTAACTTCCCCAGCAACATTTAAAACTGTGTGTGTTGTCATCTGTTATGATATTTTATTTAAAAATTATTTTGTATAATTAATTATTATATAAAATGGCTATTAATTTTGAGGTTAGGGATGAATTTTATAAAAGTTTAGTTTTAGAGTTTTATAAATGCTAATAATCAATAAAATCTTCATTGGGTCTGACCCTACTCGAGATATGACACAACCCCACATTTATCTCCCTACTCCCTCAACCTTTAACCACCAAAATTTAATTGCATAAATGCCCAATACACAAACCTCCCTGCAGAATTTCAGAAATTTTTGACTAAAAGTATGAGCATTATTAAACGTCAAAGTGAGTGAATAAGATTATGCCTCTCCATACAAACATCCATACATACAAAAAAAAAACCCATACTTTTTTGCATTTCTCAACATTTCAAGATCCCTTGAGTTCAAAAATGTAAAAATCTTGATCAATTTCTATACTTTCTCTCTGTTATATATAACTGAGCTGGGAAAGTAGAAAGTAGCTTTTGTATAAATTTACATAAAAACTAAGTTATCAGAGATAACAAATATTGGCTTGGCATAATTAAAATTACTTCACATTTTATAACAAATATTATATTTGAGTAAAAATTTATAATATAAAGGTAGATTATTTTTAAGATAAACTCAAAATAAGACATTAATAAATGATACATTTATAACAATTGAAACAAACTCTAACAAAAGGAAACTAACTTAGTATTGACATGGAAGATTTTAGGTATTTAATTATAGTTTATTCCTTTTTTGATTTCTTTAACTATACAGGAAATCCTCATTTTATTTTATTTCATTATTTTTTAAGTGGCCCAAAAAGTATTAAGTTGTCCAAATGTAGTAGCCCAGAGCCCTACATAAATCTCAATCTGCTACTTGAAGCTCAATCTTGCAATCCTGAAAATCAGCCATATTTTATAAGAGAAAAAAAGGGGTAGTCCATATGTAAGGTGACACCCAAAAATGTGTTATTATAAAAGCAAAATCATATTGACCAGATTAGAGTTGTTCCTTAGTCTATCGTTCTCTTATAGCATGGAGGCACTTCGATCTAAATGAATGTGTTAATTTATGCATATCACAGTTTGGACAGAATTTCCACTTTAAATTTCGAAGTGGCCTTATTTTGAACTAACCAAATTCCTTACATGTAAATCTCTATATCCCCCAGCCAGGACAAAAAGTACAGTTATGAACTAATGGGATTTCAAACTATCTGAGTTCGAATTAATGAGGATATCCTGTATGATTTCTATATTGATAACAAATAATGACTTTGGGGGCAAGAACATGTTAACTCAGTTTTCATTGTTGAACATTCTTGAATTTCTACAAACATGAGCAGATGTAACTTCCAGACTTTTCATAGATTGGTCTTTAATATCATTAATTAAAATCACCTGTGATTTGTCCTAAAATACAGAGCAAATTTGGAATTTTGGGATGATTTTTCCAGAAACTTGAAAAAATCAGTTAACATGTTCTTGCCCCAAAATCTTCAAATATTATTATTAATGTTCATTAATAAATAAATATATCTAGTGTATATTAATCTTTTTTTGTGTATTAATTATATCATTATTTGTATAATTCTTATTACTTAAAAGAAAAAATGTTACTATCTCTGCTAATGTTAATGTTTATATTGGAATTTAAATATGGCAGAACTTAGAAATTATAAAATAAATTCCAAATATATTACTTATTGATAAAGATATGATACATATCTATAAACAAAATCATGAAATTAGTCAAAGACATCAGAAAATTAATGTATATGTGAACTAAAGTATAAACCATGTGAATTTTTAGTTATAATTGATACCTTAACACTTCATAATTGCATTAATTACATGGAATTTGATAATGTAATGGCTATCATTATGTCCATTGTCATTATAATGACTCTCATTTTCAAATTTTTTTTTATGTCATCTAGTGAAATGCTACTCATTTAAATGGGAAGAATCTTATTTAGATAATTAGAATTAATTCCACACTGCAATATGATTTCCATGTTGATAATGAGCATTGTCGTTAATCGATGTTCAGACTAATCAGAATACATTAGTCATTACAAATTAATTAAAATTAATTTAATTAATTTTAATGAATCTCATTAGTAATTGCAATTAAAGAATGGGTAACACATATATTAATATTAACAAATATTAATTAAATTTTTCATCTTTTCTTCTAAGAAAAATGATTTAAATCCTCAAAAAAGTTAAGAAAAAAATTTTTCTTAATTGTATTTTGCTTATTAACTATTAATATGAATAATCTTTATTCCATTTAAGGCATCATTTTGACATTGTTTTAATTTCTGTATCATCATTTTTCGGAGACAATTTATGATAATAAACTTAATTTAATTTACTTTTGCTGAAAATTCTTTATTAAATTTAAAAATAGGAACTAAAAAATGTAAAGGAACTTCTTTTAAGTTTGCTAAATAGTAGACTTTTTCATGTTTATTCAATAATCTGGATTTATTCTTTTTATTAGCAGTCAGTTTTAAGTTTCCAAGTCCACTGACTCCATGGAGAATCAAAGAAAATTACAGAAACTCTGTATAAAGTATAGGAGTAACACCACATAAATTATTTAGATTTTGTTTAAATGTTCAAGCAAATGTCTGTGATTCTGAAGACGGAACTTTCCGAAAACATTTTTATCCATTAATAAATTTCCAATCCTATATTTTATTTAGCATTGCTGTAATTTACTT